TGACCGCATAACTTTGACGTAGCATTTCGTCACTCAGCTCTGTCCACCAGGCTCCGGTTGTTCAAAGGGCAGAGAACACTATCCAGCGGATAAATCGCTATCCAGCAGATAAGTGTTACCAAAACGTACAGCGCTATCCACCAGATAGAGATTTATCCAGTGTATAGCATTATCCATCCTTCAAACAACCGGCGCCAGAACAATAAACTGATCATAATTAACTTTGACGTAGCATTTCATCACTCAGCTCTGTCCACCAGGCTCCAGTTTTTCAAAGGGCAGAGAACGCTATCCAGCGGATAAATCGCTATCCAGCAGATAAGTGTTACCAAAACGTACAGCGCTATCCACCAGATAGAGATTTATCCAGTGTATAGCGTTATCCATCCTTCAAACAACTGGCGCCAGAACAATAAACTGATCATAATTAACTTTGACGTAGCATTTCGTCACTCAGCTCTGTCCACCAGGCTCCGGTTGTTCAAAGAGCAGACAACACTATCCAACGGATAAATCGCTATCAAGCGGATAAGTGTTACCAAAACATACTGCGCTATCCACCGGATAGAGATTTATCCAGTGTATAGCGTTATCCATCCTTCAAACAACCGGCGCCAGAACAATAAACTGATCATAATTATCATTATTTACTGAAACAATGCATATTAGGATAAATGATTTGTAGAATCACTCATGCTTGTTCACTCAAAATTGCACTAAAATCATTTAAAGAACTTTACTGATCAGCAGTCTGAATGCTTACTACCTTGAATTAAATGTACAATTCGACTGAGAGCATTTCGTCAATAAATGAATTACAACACAACAGCTGTGAACCAAATCACAGAAATAATTACCTTTAAACACCTTTTGAGTTTATGCTTAATTCGAATGACACTGAACAGTGGTTACAAATTCATCTTATGTAACACTGCTGTCAACAAAACTTACATTGATTAATTAAAAAAAAAAGAAAAGAAAAAATGATGCCCAAATTAGCAGGCACACAATTTAGCAGTCACGTTATCGCTACGAAATTGGCAAAAGTGAGAGAAAATCAGGAATAACGTCACGCATTCAACACAATTAAGGATGATAACAAAGCACAGCCAGTAAAATAACTGAAAAAAATCCCACGGCAACCTTTGATCCCGAAGATCTCGTTGAGAGCATCTCTTTAGCTCGTTTACGAGCGACCATTGCGTTGAAATTTGTGGTACCATTCGGCCAAAGTGTCATGCAATCTCTGCCCAATTCCCCTTTGCTGTACTTCCACGAGTAGTTAAAAAGTTTCTCGCAGAATTTCGTGGCATTACCAAAATATTGCTGAAAAGTTTTGCACTCCAGCTTACACATGCCACTCGTCCAGTTCCACGTTTTGTAGTCTCCCCAGTTATTAGAGCAGGTTAGGTCGTCTTTGCAGGCATTAAACCATGCATCGCAGTCCTTGCTGCATATGGGGACGTCTTGGAAGCGTTCTTTGCGCGTCTTCTTAGAATGGGGGTCCACTACGATCCATGGTTTCATGTTTGGCGAGCATTCATACATACAAGTGTCGACCTCGAAATATCTACGGCACTGAGGAGACATTTTTTGGCCGCACTGATCCCAGTGCATGTTGTACAGCGACAGAGATCCGTCTTTTCGAATGTTGGCGGTTGTATTCGTCGTGCAACAAGCATGGCTCTTCCATGGGGTGCAATGAAATGTCTTGTTGAAGAGATCACTCTCCGGTCCGGGCTTTTGTTTGTGGTACTTGGAATCGATGCAGATATCAAGAAATTCGTCAATCTCCTCTTCAGTTACTGCCATGGTAGACACAATCAGACAGGAAAGAACTAACAACGCATACCAGATCTCCGCCATGTTCAGTACACCTCGTCGAGCACGTGCTGCCGAAATATAAAATTCAAACATTAGAAACATCGACAGTTGCCAAAATCTGGCTGGAAAACTAGTGAGAGCAAAAGGTGTCTGTTTCCTTCGTGTTGTGAAAGGTGACATGATTTCAGAGAAAGAACAATCCAAAATATAACGCACCTTTTCCCGATCATGAACAACAGTCGTAAATGAATATTCGCATGAGCGTGTTCCAGCTGGATTTACATATCGGCTCCACCAATCAGCGATCATTGATCACTCATGATCCAGTGACAAAAGACGACCGTATCTTCCCAGGAGTGCAGTGCCCTGGAAAATGCGACCAAATGTAAACATAACTGGAAAATAAGCCAAAACAACTTCACAGTGTGACAATCTTGTAAAAGAAATAATGTTTAAACTAATTTCTTCGCTTCTCTTTACAGCGCTGCCTCAGCTTGTCTTTGGCGGAACACATGTATAACACTAGATTATCCACAAATAGCAAAAAATCTCCTTGTTTTATCGCGTTGCTGGCTTCTTCAGAACGTAGGATTGTGATGTTGCTTTTCGCTGGCTATGGCCCCACAGTTTCAGTAACTCCTCACCCAAACCCCAGAAAACAGAAGGTGATATCGCAGCACTCGTTTCTCACATAAAAAAAATTAATAAACAAACAATTATAAGATAGAATATACAAACAAACAAATAAGCAAGCAACACTCAATTCCCCATATTATTTCAGCTACATTCTCAGTGACAGCTGGTCAACTAGTTGAAATGAAAACAAATGATATTGGTTGTGTTACGCACACAGGAAATGTACCAAATGGCTCCCGTTTTTTGTCAATCAAACGTTTAACACAAGGTGGAACCTACACCTCCCAGTGTCCTCGTTGTGATCTCTGTCTCCTCCCCAGAGGACTGTTTTTTCTCGTCCTACCATGGCCATGAGGTGCAAAATTATTTTCTTTTATCTCGAGATCTGATCGATACGCGTGAGGTAGACTCATCTGAAAATTAAGTCTTGAAAATTGAGTGTTATAACAAGATCATACTCACTTGTTAAATCTCTTGGTTTTCATTACCTGACTGTGAAACCACAGTCTTTTTAAAGGTGAGGAGAATATGATAATAAGATAATAATAACTTTGTTTATATAGCGCTCATATCCTTTGCCCAAGGCGCTTTACAATCATATAAAAAACGTAATTAATAAACATTTAAAAATTTACAACCATCTCCTATTATTTGATACTTAACATAACTAAAATTTACAATTAAAACTAACGCAAGATATATAAGTCTACAGAAATAATGATCTGTTATTAATAAATTTAGTAAACAAATACGTCTTGAGTGCTCTTTTAAAACTCGAGATGGTGTTAGACTTCCGATTTTCATAGGGTGTTAAATTCCATTCTCTTGGCGCATGAACAGTGAATGCTCTGTCTTCGTAGGTCTTGAATCAGGCATTGAATGAGGGTCGCGAATGTCAGATATAAAGATTAAATTTCACCCTTCTCGTTGCAAGACTTGCAAAGTTCGAAAGATCTATATAATCAAATGAAGCAACGTATTCCTAATTTTTCTCTTCTCATAGATCACTCGCAATTTATGTGTTTGAAAAGAAGCCTATGGAAACATCAAAAAGTATCAAATCGATAAGGACCTTTCGTTATTTACCCCCTGAGGGATTGGTGTTGAAAACCATATGATCCCCCCCAAAGAAAAATCGTCCATCCCCTTAGCAGAGGCAGATCCACGAATTTTTGATTGGGGGGGGGGGTCCAAACTTTGGTTCAGAAAGGACTGTTGGACTCTTTGAGGCAAATTCATTCTCCCCCACACCCCCTCCCACCAGTCGCGGATGCACGTTATAATTCCTTGGCCGCTTACCGTTTATTTGGAATCATTAAAAAAATCAGCCAGTTAAAAGTGATATACGATCCTGTCTCAAAGTTGTAAGCGTCAGGTTTGATAGGGGGGGTCCGGACCCCCCGGACCCTCCCCCTGGATCCGCCACCCCTTAGGTGTTAAATAACTGATCCGTGATATTCAGAAACTGCTAATGGAACACCCAGACAGGATTAGTCTCTCTTATCAAAAGCGAAATAACAAAACTATCCGACTCTTGAATAAAGGCTGATAGTTTCGAAAGAAACTGTTTGGGGCTGCGTCGGTGGGAGTAACGAAATAATTTGGATATATCAACAAAGTTGAAATGGTAAATTGGCCACCGTAACGATTAGAAAGCCTGACGTTTTGAGCGTTAGCCCTTCGTCGGAGCGAATGATCGTGTAGTCTGATCGTCCGGGTGAGGGTAGGTCTGGGTGCGATGGACAGTTGTCGGTAGAGGTGACTGACTCGTTCAAAGAGTTCTTTCCCCCTCTCCCCAAGGGATGAAGATGGAAAGAAAAGTCCGTTCCGCTGCACAATGGTACCGAAGTCTCAGGCTTGACAGGAAGCCTCGTAAAACACAGGAATAAAACAATTTTTACATGTGCGAATGTTGCCGAAACTGCAAAGAGGGTGTGTCGTATAACTAATAGTAATCATAAAGAGGAAAGAATGAGATCAAAGTATTTCACACCTGCAACATGGCACGGCGTTTTAAAAACGTTTAATTTTGTGGTAAAATTAAAGAAAAATGGTAAAATCAACAGAATACCTTTAACTAAATAAACCTTGTGTTAGAAAAGTGTCTCCGTTTTTTGCTCTTGCTTTGTTTCCTCTCGCCACTTATCATGAAAATGTCAATCTTTTTTCCGAATTTTGCGCGACCCCACTTTTCCATTTTGTTTTCCTTTAAATTTTACGCGGGAAATTGACGCACCGAAATCTTCTTTTTTAGCATGCATTCGCGCATGCCCGAGGTTTGACTGCTGTTCGTATTGCCTCGCTCCATCTTTCTGCGTGCAAAGCACGTATTATTATATTCGTTAACCAATTAGTATATTCATTAACCAATCGGATCTCGTGAATTTGAGCAGGTGGCTTTAAACACGCGTAAGGCTTCCTTGGTGACGATAATTACAAAATCAACAGGGACTTCTTGATGGTTTCACTCCTCTGTGAGCCTCGGCAAATGCAAATAACAAATAATCCCACAAATTTGCGCGCGCTGCGTTTAGACCTTGGTTTGTAAACTAAATGAAAAGATCTCGCTTTTTTGCAGCCAATTGAATTCTGTCTTCTATAACCACTTCTTCGCCTTGATTACATTTATTCATTCATTCGTCACCAGCTTAATAAAAGATTCTGGTTTCGATGAAGATCGGCCTTTATTAATAAATTATGATTATATAGGTTCTTGGTCAAATTATGCACAGCGGCCTGTTAGCGCTAATATGCAGCCCTCTAGTTTTTGACGTACTTTCTCCGCGAGACGAAATTCGTTTGACGTTCAATTAAGGTTGTTATCGTATTTGTGGGTGCAATCACACCGGCTTCGAAGGGAAAATCTACCATTTTTGTCGTTACCAACCCCAAGGATCGAAAATGCCTGGGTTGTTTAAGGTAGGAGGATTAATTTCACTTGGGAGCGAAGCAGTGTGGTCCTCAAATTTCGACAAATTATCATTATGAACGTTTCTGCGGGTCATGTAAATTGAGGAACAAATTCTCAAATCCCTTCGATAGCGGAAGGTATCTGTATTCCTGTGGAGACACAAATGAGTTATGATCTTTCTTATTTTGTTTTTCACTTGACTTAGGTTGTGTGCCTACTTTATACATGCTTTGGGCCGGTTTTATCTAGCAACACGTCAGGTAAATTTAATCCACTCGTTATTGCACAAATTACGCTTTCTAAATTGCCGTATTTCCCCGTTAACAAAGTCCAAGATACGCGAACTCTTAACGACATTCCCGCTAATACTTTTTTTCTGTCTCTACCGCAAAAGTGCGGAAGTTTTAACTAAAGTTTGTAACTTTATTCGGATAGCAACAACTGTTGCCCTCAAGTCAGTGTCTTGTTACAAGCACTTCTTTATGCAAACATGAGAGGAACATTTTTCAATTAGTAGTTCTTCTTTGCCTTTCGCGGGCGCCTTTTAAATCCTGTTTCAAATCAGATAGCGAATTTTACATCGTAGCATTGCAAAAGGCCTTAAACTGTATTCGAGTTTTGTTTTGAAAATTTCTTAGCTTCTTGGATCAATCCTTTCTGTCAGAGGCAGGTGGCGTCAAACTGTCATTGTCATATGGAAATTATTCGCGAAGGGTTATAATTAAAATAAGAGAGACAATTGTAACAATCCACGAAAATTTTCGAGCCGTTTTTCATAACCACAGATGGAGTTATACTGAAATATCATACATTTGGCCTTATGATGTAACAGAGAAAGCTAAAATTTAATTTATTTCAAAGTGACTCAAACAAAGTCCAGCGCGGCTTGGAGCTTGTTTTTGGCGAAATCATCTTTCGGTTGTTTTATATCCACGTTCTGATTAGTAAATAAGCTTTACACGGCCCCCTCTTGAAATATCTGCAAAAGTTAAAGTATATAGAGATCTTATCTCTCCTAAGTCGTTATATATTTTTTTCCATTGTAACGTTTTCATAACGCTCTCTTGTTATTTGCGCTTCGAGCGTTTATCGTGAAACATTACTCTTAACAGGCGGCGCAGGTTGTTTAGTTTCGTTTACAATTCAGTCTTTTTTCTCCGCAAATATTTTGCTCTGAAATAGTGTTTAAAGCCCTGGGGGGCGTGGGAAAATACAGATTCTTATTAAAGAACTGCACGAATTCTCTTTTAGCCTAAAAGCATTAATTTTGGGTATAGCCCCAAGGTTGTTGTGTAAAGACGTCTTTCGCTATTATGAGAATTAAGACTTCTGTGCAACTTACATAGGGACAGTAAGCAATTTTTGTGGTTAAATTTTTGCGGTTAAGACTTTACCACGACTGTTATTATCGGTTATTTTCTTTCTATTAGTTTCTCGTAATCATTTTCGCCTGAACGCTACATATTCTTTGAAGGGTCTCTGAATTTTCAAGTTGTGCCGCACGAAACACAATCAGTGCTGTCGTCTAGAATATGTATTTCTTCAGAAACTAATATGCCGCTGTAGTAGACCGTAAAACGCAGGTTATCATTATATCAGTACATTTACATAGCTGCATTTATGTGGTGTAAATACGAAGGAAAAAACTGAGAGCTCCGTTGGCTATATTTGTTGAAGGCGATATTAGTTTTTCATTCAGTCTTCCTCAATACAACCGCCTTGTGTTTTTCATTAATCGCACATCCTTTCTTGCCAGAAGATATATATTTTTAAAAAGCTCTTCACCTGTGGAGTATTTATTTAACTCGGTTCAGGGCGGAGCAATGGCCAGTCTACATCGATAATTTTTCATCTATTGAATATAATTGTGGACTTCTATCAGCGTAATTCGTCCCTTTTCGAAGTATGTCGGTTTATTTTTTCTTCTTTTTCCACTTAGTAACTTCCGTTTGATGAAACTGTCCTGATAATTCATGTTGCTTTATAACGATGGAAAATTTTCCTGGTCGCTAAGCCCAGAAATTCACACTGTGATCAGTGTTTGATTGAGGTGCCGCTGTTTTCGAAATGTAAGCAGAATTCTTTGGCCTCGAAATAAAACAATACTGCGATTCACATCTGAATTAGAATGTAAATCAGCCCTATCTAACAGGCAAAAGTTTCACGAGGAATTTACAAATTAGATATTTCCCAGAAATCAAACTCTAAGAGAAATTGAAACTGAAATAGTGATTGATCGATGAACTTATTAACGAAGGTGAGAATTTATACAACAAGTCATAGTCAAAACCACAAGGTGATCATTCCTGAAGAAAAAGATTAAATAAATACATTTTTGCGCAAAAGCTAATAAAAACGTTACTTGGTATTGTGTTAAAAGACGATCCGTTTCTCTATTTTATTAATTTTTTTTGTGTTTGTTATTTTTTTTATATCACTCATATTTATGTAATGAATATGATAATTTCATAGCCAGTTCAATTCTGAAGGGTTGTGGTGTATCAGACTACTACCCCTTTTAATTTGAAAATTTCAGCACTTGAACCTTCGCCGACCTTATCTGCCAGCTATGCAATGGTTTCCGGGAATGCTGATGTTAGTGCTTCTCAAGCATCCGGGTTTGCATCCAGAACCCGGGACGTGACGCCCATTCCTTCCTCATCCTTAGTTTCTGCTCAGTCTTCCTTGGGCCAGCCAGATGTGAGTGGCTAACACTTTTCATGAATTAACAGAAATTTCTACCCATCCATCCCAAAGTTTTAGATTTTCCTTCTTAATACTCTTTTTTGTCGATATCTTTTGATTTGGATATATTTTAAAACAAAGCGTTAAAACAAATAGGGGCACATACGTCCTACATGGCTTGGGAAAAAAAAACTGTTCCAAAAATTACCAGTTGAATTTATATCGTTCTTGAAAGCTTCCTTTCTGCTGTCTACAACCAGCCGAAGTTTTCAAATTTATCCATTTTGAAAAGACCGGGAGACCGAAAAAAAATGCGATTTCTTTCTTTATGAGTGTAAAAAGAGCATATCTACACTTGGAATTGGAGATTGTACATAATTGCGAAACATGTATTATTTTTAATATAGGACGGCGACAATGTGTTCCAACAAGCAGCAAAAAAGCTCGAGGATAAGCTGGAACCCAATGTTGAAGAGGTGTCTACTTTTTGCCTTAACATACAATATTGATGATCTCCTCATTTTAACATAATCTGTAGATGTCTTATCGAAGAATTTATTTTAATGATAATAACGTTGCAGTTCGAGTGAGGTTTAGTATTTTACAAAACAAGCTAGCGGCAATATATCTTTGCAAAAGAGATATTGCAGGAGGGTGACTAGATCTCATCAGTAATTCTCCTATCGGCAATATATCTTTGCAAAAGAGATATTACAGGAGTGTGACTAGATCTCTTCAGTAATTCTCCTAGCGGCAATATAACTTTGCAAAAGAGATATTACAGGAGGGTGACTAGATCTCATCAGTAATTCTCCTATCGGCAATATATCTTTGCAAAAGAGATATTACAGGAGTGTGACTAGATCTCTTCAGTAATTCTCCTAGCGGCAATATATCTTTGCAAAAGAGATATTACAGGAGTGTGACTAGATCTCACCAGTAATTCTCCTAGCGGCAATATATCTTTGCAAAAGAGATATTACATGAGAGTGGCTAGATCTCATCAGTAATTCTCCTTACTGTCTGCCATACAAATCTCACGATGTTAGTTTGGAGAATTGGTATTTGATCAACTAATAAGCCCCTAATTGATATTTTTCTTTATTCTCATCACTCGTCTGCTTGATATTGTATTGATATTGTAAGGAGAAATTCTGTCTTCGTCACGCATGTTAGTTAAGTCGTTAAGAGCAGTGGCTAGCCACAGTGAACCAGAAGATACTGCTGTCTTCAATTTTCTTTCAAAAGCGTAAAATTATAGAATGCCGGAGTGGGATTACTTAATAATTTAGGGACGACTTCGCCCAATTTGAGCACCGTTCATTACATTTCTATTTTTCTGTTCGTAAATGTTTTTGTTCATAAATCTTTGGCATATCTCAGCAAGGACTAAACAAAACTTTGACTGTCTTGTCACCAATGTGTGTACATACCAACTCATTGTATTTCCCGAATCATCTGCCTTTCAGCTTAATGGAAAAATCCATAAGGAAATCGACCCTACAAGATCCGAGCCGAGGGATGTTACTGTTATTGACATGCTGGCAAAAATGATGGAGCAGACCCAGAATATATTAACGGAGTTCAACAACACAGGAAATGCAACCGGCGACTTCTTTAACGCCACAAAAGGCTTGGGTTTTGGTGAGAGGATTTTGTGTGCATTAATACTTCGAGTTTATAAGCTATGGCAGTCTCCTTTCCCATTACTACCTTAAAAGAAAATATATAAGAAGGAACGTTTTATTTAGAACAATCAAGTGGCAATGTTTCCCCGATTTACTAGAGCTATAACCGTGTGTATATCCTCATTAACTCTCCACGCCCCGCTAACAACACTGCTGATGTGCATATTCTCCAAATTGTTTTCTCCACTTTTCCTCTAGTTCTCGGACGGGGAGAATTTGTTTTTCAGTAAAAGAGTCAAGAGCTCCTTTAGTTGGCAATCATTTCTTTCATTCTCATTACTTTACAGTGATACTGATAGGAGAAACTCACTGCTAATCACTCTTCAATTTTGAAGGGTTCAAGCTTTCCTATAGGTTCGATTTCCGCCACTCTTTCGAGTCCGGTCTCGTTCCTCCCTGGGAAAGAGCGCGGGCTCCAGTTCCCGAAAAACGGCCCGTAATTGAGCCCAGCTTCCCGCTATCAAGATGCAGATTCTGAACATATGAGTACCATTCTTCCTCACACACGTGGTATCATGACTCGCACGACACTTACAGCTACAAATATTAACTTCAATTTTCAATGTTCCTAATTAGTATTGGTGATAGAGAAGCTTGACTGCCACAAAGAAAGATCAACAGCCATTCCTGATCGCTCCGATAAGGAGACTAGTCGAACACTGGCAAAGTTCTCGGACTACGTGACACTCAAATTTGACTGCCCGTGGATCGTAATTAATGGTAAATGGCAATTCTTAAGGGTGACTTGAGAAAGTAAATGCTTTAGTCTCTGCAATCAAGTAACAATTCAATACTTATGTGTGAAAAAAATGTTAATTCATCTCAACAACAGTGGGTGTCCTCCCAGGTATCAAACATCTCCTAAAAATAGGATGGGGTCATTTTTTCTAAAGTGTAGCTCATTGAGGAGGGAGGGGTAGGGTTCTAATGGTGCATGTGGTCCCGTCCCCTCTGGTTTGAAAGAGTGATATTTCATGAATATGATAAAACACCTCGTTTCCTTCGAAAATCCAATAAGGCAACGGCGCCACACCCCACCTTCCTCCTACTCTGGTGAACCTTCCCGTACACCCCTGGCTTTTTCTCTGTGGAATCTGATAATGTGAGTTTTCCGAAAATTTGGTTTTCATCTCTTTATTCAAGCCACTCGGTCGAAGAGCACCAACTTAAGAAAAAGAGAAGATGGCGCAGAAGAGGACGAGAATGACGACTTCCATGAGTTTCAAATGCTGCATCATCCTTCATCGCACAGTAAGAAGTAATCAACAGCTTCCCCGGAGTGTATCAGCAGCAAAATCACACCAAAATTCGTTTTTCGCTGATACACTCCAAGGAAGCTGTTGATTAAAATTTACAAGATTTCTCGAACTGGGATACCCTTTAACTTGTTATCCGCTGTATTCTTTGTTTGAACGCAGACCTCTGTGATCTCTATTTTGTCTGAGACCACTGGAGTGCTTGCTCTCCAGTATGGCGTTGCTATGCAGTATCTAAGCACGTGATCTCTAACTGCAAAAGGCCTATTGGTCACTCCTAAAAATGAAAGTATTCATTAAAACCGCTGACCGCCATATTGCAGTCTAGTTTTAAATATAGAGGAAAGACCGATACAACGTAGATAAGTTTTAAAACGGAACACTATATTTCGGCTGGCCAAACCAGCCTTCCTCAGGTGGATCCCAGCACGGCGGTATATGTCATGGCGATGACAAAGAAATCAAGAAATGCAGTAAGAAGAGCCGAGTAAAATCCAAGCACCCTGCACTGATCGATAATGCAGTAATTTTCCGAAAAATCCACCAAAAAATTCAAAATATTTGACTACTCATAGCGTACAGAATTAATCGTAGAAGTTCTATACCATAAAATCGTCCTCATAACCCTTGCTTGGAAACAAACCTATTAACAAGAATGACAAGTATTCAAAAACTTTTATTCCCCCTCTCCCTCCCTTTTTTCTCTTTGGTGAGTCATTTGGTTGTGAGCCTGGAGCTCGAAATTGGAAGTTCTACGATACAAATGTAACAAAGTTCCGGCTTTCGATAATTGATAGTTCATCCATTTTGGTATGTAAGAAAAGTTAAGCCCCTGCTTTTCACAGAATCAATTTTTCTCTCTTTTATTTTCATCTCTAATCACTCGAAAAAAAAGAGGACCATTTTAAACTAAAAATAAATCCAGTCCCTCTTAATAAAACAAGTATTTTTTCATTTTCAATATACGCTTTGTTTGGTGGCACTTCTGTTTTCGCTTAGGAAAGCAACAGACGAAGCCTCTTAGGCAACAGCAGAACGATTAGCCGGAGAGCCTTTCTCATCAAAACTGCTGATAACATTTGTATTACTCCTGTTTTGCTTCACAGATTGCAGCCACTTTTTAACATCTGGTGGGAACATCACGACTCCTAGCTTTCCTGACAATTATCCAAATAATGTGATATGTACATGGGTATTACAGGCACCTGTCAATCATACCGTAAAACTGCTTATCGAGGAATTTTATTTGGAAAAAGATAAGAAGTGTTTCTATGATTTTATGGAGTTTTTTGACGGAGGGAATGCAATAGAGGACTTACAAATGAACAAGCGGTTTTGTGGAAAGCAAAGGCCATTCATCGACTATGAGTCTACGGGGCGAAACCTTACAATTCAGTTTACGTCCGATAAAGATAAAACCTACAAAGGTTTCCTAGCTGTGTGGGAGACCAAGAAAATAGGTAAAATATGATGTCATAATATTTGCTTCAAATTCAGTTTGAATCATGCGCAGTATTTTTGTTGTAATTTAGAAAAGAGTACAATAATTTTGAGTTTATAAATTATGACACTATTTTCTTAACTCATGTTTTGCATGAGCGTTTGAAAAAAAAAAACCGTTATAACTATATATATGATAATCGAAGATTACACAAATTGTATGATGCACGATCCTCGCAGTAGATAGCGCTATTTATGCAATAGCGAAAATCAGACCTGAAAAAAATCAGGCCTGTACGGGATTCGAACCCCTGATCTTTGCGGTACTTGTGCAGCGCTCTACCAATTGAGCTAACAAGCCAACTGGGAGCAGGCCGTTAAACTGATTCGTAATAAACCCGTGATGATAAATCAGATACGATGAATATATGAAGTTCATATATTAATCGTATATGAAAATATGAAGTTCATATCTGATTACACAAATCACTAGTAAGGAGGGAAGGCCAGATAAATGGCAAATTCAAAACACTTGACTGAGATTTGTGACCTTAGAGAAGTGTTCTCAGGTGCGTGTCGAAAAATATCGAAGAGTTAGCTGATGTAACAAGCGAAATGATTACAAGTTAAATGATTTATGTACAAGTTAAATGATTTAGGCACGTGAACAAGGCGCTCTACGAGTAAGGTACATAAATGTACAACTATCTTTATTATTATACATTGTAGTCACCATCTGTCTTCTCATTGGCTAACGCCCACAGTTAATTCTGGGAAACAGTACAGATTAGTGAATAATCTGTAGGTTGCGCGCGCAAAGCATGATTTCCGGTGGAGCAATGTCAAGTTCACGGACAGCGAAGTAAGAATGGTTTCTCGATTCGCTTCATCGACCCAGCGAGAAATTGAGAAATTACTTCAAGATAAAGATTCGAAAAATACTAAAAGATCGACAAAAGTGGCGAAGGAACTGTTCTACGAATATTTTAAAGAGAAAAATATCCAGGAGCCACATGACAAAAAGGAATTAGCCCAAGTGAAAATTTGTTCACCACACAGTTGTACATTTTTAAGTGTTCAAAAATAAGCTGTGTTCAAAAATAAGCTGTGTTCGCTGCGATAACGCGTTTTGCGTTATTTTCTTTAAAACAATGTATAATAAAACAATTATTGGTTGGGGTTTTTGTGATATCCGGTATAATGAAGGTCTCGTTTAGTGTTATCAGCCGAAGCCGAAGGCTGAGGCTGAATAACACTTACCTCGACCTTGATTATTCCGGATATCACAAAAACCTCATCCAATAATTGTTTATAATAGAAAGACATCGAAGACGATTTACCCGGCAGGAGTATATGCCTCTACTGACTTGGGAAAAAACCAGAACACGTCGCCCAAACCAACCATTTTTCCTTCACTATCATGCGAGGGAACTAGGACCGAAGTTATTTGTCTAATTCTTGGGCCTACTTCGTCCATCGGGCTTCTCCCTTGAAAATTGGGATAGGGGAACACACTGGGTACGAGACCATTTTAGGTTGAAACTCATCGCCTATCGTGTTCTAATACTCCATTCGTTGAACCAGCTAGTCGAATATCATACAATTTCTACTCACACAGAGCCATGATCTGTGGGGCTGAGAAGTCTGAGAAAAATCGTCCCTTTGGGGCCGAAACTGGACATACGCACACGCACTTGCGGATACGGGGTGGGCACGCGCGGTGATGTTATTCACTTGCTGAATGTGCCTTGTCTCTCCCGCGTGGAAATTTAAAAACTCGACTACCGCAGTGTTGCTTCAAGCGCCCTTTATTCAAGATCATCGTTTTCAACTTATTTAATATAATACAGCAGAGCTTTCAAACTTATATTCTTTCAAAAATCTGTTGTTATTTATCATTGTTTTTACAAATTAAAGTTACAGAGTACGTCCAGCAGCATGTTGCAGCACTAGTTATGATATACAGTCCAACAGTGAACGACACTCATTATCCGCTTGGTACGGCCACCACGTGTTCTCCAGGAAGGTACTTGTTGTGCAACAAAACGTTGCCTAATCTATCAGTAAATAACGATTGATTTCCATTAGAAAAGTTTGCTTCAACGTAGCAGGAATTATTCAAGTTACCCCAGCTGGTTTTCAGGGTTAGACTAACACTAACTTTGTCTATTTCATTTTTAGCCGAACCATTGACAATGAATGCGTCTTTGAAGACAAAGTATTTATTATCTCCCGGTTAATGATTGCCCAGATGGACCGTAGTCTTCCACTTGATGGTGACAACAGAATCGTTTTACATTTTGAACATATTATGGTAAGAACATTGGAAGTTCCTTGCCGTGCTGCAAACTGAAACGTATTACAGCGTCTCAAAAAAAAAAATAGCCTACACTTCTTAAACTTGGCGCTGCAGTTGTCCAAATCCGTTGTTTTAATTAGCTTTCAAAATTTTTAATTGGAGTTCCTTTTACAAATGGGTAATTTTTCTTTCAACATCAAGGGTTTGGTTTAGGGGGAGCTCCTACACCTCAGGTGTACGTGCCCTGTTTCTTATTTATTAAAGGGAAACATATAAACTTCATTATTATTACACGATTCCTCTAGTGTTACAGTCCCAGTGCTAGTCCCAAACTCAGTCCCAGTGCTGCCCCAAACTCAGTCTCAAACTCAGTCCCAGTCCCAGTCGAGCCAATAACTATGAGGGGTGTTTCAGGGAAGTTGAACCCTGTAAGGTTATTTACTGGTTTTTTTGGTTTTGTTTTGTGTGTGTGTGTGTGTGTGTTTTTTTTATCCAGCACGAGAAACTCTTTCCTACTATCTACAACGGAGAAAAGATTTGCGTGTCCTGGAACAAAGAAGCAAAGTTAGTAAATCATGACTTGTCCAACTGAAACTTTTACCTCATAAAAGAGAGATATTGGATCTTTGTATTTTCTTTAAGTGCCTGAAAGGTTATATTGATCTCAATGTTTTGTCATATGTAAATTTTAAGACACCCAAACTGATGTTTTTACGTTTTCTTTCTTCAATCGTATTGTAGACCTGTGGAATTGCCTACCATTAGATATCAGAACTATTGAGCATTTCTCATCCTTTAAGAACAGTATTAAGAAGTGTTGTCTTAATAAATTTAACGTAAATATGGATAGATTTTTACAATTTATGAATAATATATTGTCATGATATTTCATACTATTTGAGCGAACTTGTATAATTTTTTTATGTATATATATATAGATATTAGATATGTTTTTTAATTGAGGCAGTTTATTTTTATATGGAATCCTCGTATTCTGTACAAACTGACCAAATTATTCAGATCTTGTGATTTTTTTGGATTTTTTAAAATTTTAATTGCTAATTTATCTACAATTGGTATATTAAGATCTGTACAATTAAAGTTGAGTACAAAAAAAAAAAGAAAGAAAGTAAAATAAATAATCAAGTCCTTCTAAACAAGTGTTTCACATTCTCTAGGAACGAGCCCACGGACGATTCTGATCAGTAAGTCGACTTCCACTTCCACCACAAGTCACATTCATCGGGAGCGTCGTTAGTTATGTTAAATAAAAATCACTAAGTGTGCCAAGTAACCAAAACATTAGATTTCTCCAAGAAGCACTAATTTTAACAATACCAAGTGATAAGTCTCCATAGAAAATAAGATTTAGAATTCGCGTGGTTTGCCAATTCAACCTGCATGCATTCCTATACTGTTGCTGCTAGAAAATTCACACTAAATTTATGAATAACACATTATGAATAACAATCAAGCGAAAACTTTAAACAAAAACAGCCGCATTCCAACCAAAATTTTCGAACTGAAACCTCTCGGATTTTTGTTTATTTAATCTATTTCTTTTTAATCTGTTTAAGTAAACTTCAACCAAAAGGCGGCTGGACAAGGAGCGGTTGTTCAGTTGCGAAAACAAATCTTACACACACATCTTGTGCCTGTAACAAGAAAGGCCTGTTTGCTGTGGTGGGAAAAGAAAAGGTAATAGAAACTTTGTTTTCATCAGTTATAACTGACATCGTTATGACAATAACGATGACGATAACTGACAATGTTGGCAATGACGTTGATAAAAAATAACGACGATGCTGATGATGACGGCACAAACGATGACAACAGTGATGACAATGATGGCCTGTTTTGAAGATGAGGATTACAATGACCACAACGATGACAACGGAAACGATGACGCAGACGATGATTAGGGTTGGTAAGATGATAATGATGATTATGGTAAATGACATAGAAGATGACGATAATACGAAAGACGTCGATGATGACGATGAGGGCGATGGGGGATGATGGTAAGATGATAATGATGATTATGGTAAATGACATGGAAGATGACGATGATACGAAAGACGTCGATGATGACGATGAGGGCGATGGGGTAGGATGGTAAGACGATAATGACGATTATGGTAAATGACATAGAAGATGAAGATGATACAAAAGACGTCGATGATGACGCTGTACATGATGACGATGATGATTGTGAAGAGGAGCATGGGGAAAAGAAAAATTAAAATAAAAATAGTTTAATAATGTCTAACCCAAACATATGTCCTTGATTTGTTTCTTCTTTTTTTAGGTAGAGTCTCAAAAACTCAAACTCTTGGCGAATACCTATATTGGAATTGGAATTTCATTTTTCATCCTCATCCTGGCTATTGTACACATCGCCTGGAAAGTGTGAGTGGATTTCTCTCCCAACTCAGGATTTTGGTTTGTTAGTGAAAATGTTGGAAAGCTTTCTGCGGAGTAATTTTTATCAAGCTGGCTATAGTTCTACAATCCAGTTCAATTAAAAAAGTTAAAAGATTCTCCCTCTGTTTTTTTTTTTCAAAGTGAAATTCACGGAGGAGAAGTCATGCGTATCAACATGTGCGCCGCCATCATCGTCATGCAGTGCGTGTTTCTGATTGGTGCACACGTTAAGGCTCAGCAGGTATTAAGAACATTCTCTCTCGCATGCTCTCTCTGTCAGATGTCACAACGATTATTCAAGAGGAATACTGATGTCAGAGTAGAGTTTTTGCGATGGCCATTTTGCAGATAAACGAGGGTAGCAAGGGGGGAGGGGAGGGGGGGCTAATCCCGTTTCCCGCGCGAATTTTAGAGAAATTCAAGGGTCAAGTATATAAAGGGAAATCTTAAAATTTCTTTTCTTGTTCACAAGATTTCAGGGTATTGTTGAGGTTTTCACGGGTCAAGTATTCTTCAAGAGACGCCTCACGCTGGTTCATAAATTGACGAATCACGCTCGCCTTTCTGGAAAGTTCACGCGTCACATTAATTTTTGTCTTGGTCACACGTCTCTTATAAACCCGTTGCCACCCTCATAAAAAGAAAGAACTATCCCATGCTTTAAGTGGATATTTCTTGCAATTAATAACTTGAATTCAAAAGTTTATTGCGCTGTTTTTTGTTCTTCAGACACTGTGTGGTTTCCTGGCCTTCACCGTATATCTCTCCGTGTTGGCAGAGTTTTGCTGGCTTCTTCTCCACGGTCTCAGGATCCATGGAAAGATCAAGAGGATTTTTGCCTCAAATCTCAACATCGAGATTGTTTACGTAGTGATTGGATGGGGTAGGACTTAAAAGTGTTCGCTGCCGTTTTTTAACGAAAACGAATTACACTTTTAATAGTTGGGAAGAACAACTGTATGAACGAACTTCAACAATTATTGCGAACAATTTAATTTTGTGACAATTTAAATCTCTTTAAACATAAACTTAAGACTTATCTTTTAAAAATTATTTTAATATGTTAGAATTCTCTTCTTATCCATGTCTAGCGCCTAGATCCTAGACAACCGTTTTTTGTGAATATTTAAATCTCTGTTAACGTAAACTTAAGACTTACTTTTAAAAATTAATTCAATATGTATATTTCTATTTGTAAAGCGCTTAGATCAGGTCTGGATAAGCGCTATATAAGTAGTTCTATTATTATTATTATTATTATTATTATTATTATTATTAACATCAATACCCCAACTTCAGGGATAGAATGTTATTTTACCTGGCTTGCCGAGAGGTGACCTCACAAAACGACAAGTAAATGGTTGACTCTTTGGGAACTGGGTACGAGATTTAGACAGCAATTACAGCAAGCATTATTGTGTGTCTTGTTGTTAATTGCAGGATTGCCAACGCTACTGGCTCTTATTGCTATTGGTGTGCAGATTGATCTCAAGAACCCTGATGACGTGTAAGCACTTTAAATACTTGAATACTGCCATAACTTTTCACAATCCCTTAATCTAGCGTTGAGTTAATGATAATACCCAAATAGTTTAAATCTGGAAGTTTAAAGGTTAGAAATGAAGAAAATTATCTGTATGCAGTCGAAACGCCTCGATCCACATCTCAAGTGACCACATCCTGAGACAAACGATTACATTGCTCTTTTGAGTGCTATGTACCACGATGAATAACCACAACTTAGGTTGCAAATCATTGTTGATGTCAAAATGTTGTAGGAACAAAAATAATTCATATTGGAATAAACTGACACACAAGGTTTTTTAAGTGGCCTCGTCTGAAAGCGGTCTGACGATTTTTTTTTATTCTTATCGTTCGCTTCTTACAGCTGTTGGGAAGCAGCAACAGGCAGTGCTATGTGGGGGTATGCTGGTCCCGTTATTATTATCGCCCTGGTAAGTATTTTATTTTGCTTTTGGGTAAGAAGTAACATACGAGCCGGTAGGATCTGGGTACG